TTGATCTTATCTTCTTTCTAATTTCCTAGATCTTATGGTTTGAAATGAATCTCTTCTTTATATTTTAAGTATATATCTATCCTCACACGCTATCCCTTTTACAAATTAATTTTCTGGATCTCTTGCTCAGCTACAGCTGCCCACCAATCCATCTTTTCTATATATGAACATATCATTATTAATTCTAGCCAGCCACCTGCACCCTGCACTTTGGCCATTTTCATATACAGCACAGCTAGCTTCATCAAACAAGTAATCAACATGCTAAAAATATCAGATTGCGATCAATTGTGGACCAATTATCTCCATTACAATCCATTATTTTCCTGCGAATTGAATTCCCCACAATTATATATATATCTGGACTCACCATTTTTATACAGATCACGTAACGTGATCGAGATTGTGATCAAATGTGGACCAGTTCCCCAGTAGTTTAATTGCTCTGATCATTTCCTTTGAAAAACTCTCTTTTTTCTATGACTACAATCATGCAGCATGGAGAGCATGGAGCTGCATGGGCCATTTTTATACACGTACACTAGCTATTCATCAAAATTAAACAACGTGATCAGATCAGGTTGAATATTGATGTATGATTTATAGGATCGAATTAAAATGTGGACCAATGGCTCGATGGCACCCAGTATCACGCAACTAAAAGAGCTGCCGATCTTTACACTTTATAGACTTTTTTAACCAATTGGTCAGCTGCCAGGGTGTATTTTTCGTCATAGCATATGCCTCTGTGGCAGATTATGGTTAGCATCGTGAGCCACATGGGGGCTTTTGACAGCCCAGATTGAACCGTTTGCCTGTATTAGTTGACTTTTGACTCACAAAACTAGACGATACAGAGAGTTGGTATTGCTGTATGTGTTAAAAATTTGTCAATGAGAAGCTCTTACACGGAGAAATCAGAATCCTAGCAACCACGCTCACACGTGAGGAAGCAATTTTTTTTTTTTTTTCACTCTTTAATTTGATTTTTTTTTTTTTAATTTTATATATACTATATGTTGTGTCGGTCAAAATATATAAGAGAGATGCATCAGCAAATTGATTTAATAAAATGCCTTTATTGGAGTGTTTTCTCAAACAAATTTTCACTTATATATATTCTTTAAAAAAATTATTAAAGTCTCTTTCTTTGCTTTTCTTGAGACTGTATCCTATAATTTCAAATGGTGACTATAATTTTGTTGAAAACTAGTATTGGATAGTGAACTAATAAACATTAATTTCTTTAACATCTGTGAATTTATGATTATTGAATTCAATAAACAATTAATTAGTTTACTATATATAAAACAAAGTTTAACATTAATATTCTAGAAAAGGATAGAAAAATAAAATAAAAGTTTCTAACCAAAATCATGTTCAAGAATATATTAATAGGATTAGATTATTAACTTAAATGATGAAGAAAGTTTCATAGTTTTAACTACCTCTCGGCGGCCGAGTTGTTTGATAAGGACTTTTGGATGTATTACTCAAAAGATCATGAATTCGAGTCAATTTTTTTGTTGCTATTGGAGGTAGCCACTAAAAGAGTTTTTATCCAACTGGTAGTTTTAAGGTTCCAAATGATTAATTGAGGTATGCGTAAATTGACTCGAACACCCCGATCATTAAAAAAAAAAAAAAAAGTTTCATAGTTTCTTAGGCAAAGATGATTAAAAATCTATCATCAAAGTCATATCTATCATACGAAAAACTAATTGTTAATTAGTTCGGTTTAGAATTGGAAGTTATCAAACTCTCAAAAGTCAGATTAATAGTACTATAATGAGAAGTAAATGCTTAAAAATTCACAACTTTATAATATTAAATGGGGTATATTCTTCTTCTCCAAGTATAGGAATAAGATAATCCATAGTTCTAAGACATCCAAGCGTCGACTGCGTAGAGCCGAAAGTGCTTGAAAATGTATATGAAATCCCACTAGATGATTAATTATATATATGCCTTAGCTCATTTTGTTAATCATCTAGCTAATTACCAAATTATATACGTTATCGTATTTTATTATTGCATATTGAGGCACATTAATGTTAGTTGTCAAGGATTTGCAAGGTGTATATATAATTAAGTGAGCCAGAGTAGTAATTTGATTTCCAGATTGAATAGTATCCTCTTGTCTGGACCATTAATGTTAATGGTTTGGTAATGAGCAAAGATCACACGCAAGTGTTATAGAATTTATGCATATAATTAGCATATCTTGTTTAATATATAATCACTTGCTAATTAATCAAACCATGCATCTATATATTATTGAAATATTATTTAATCTTAAACAAGAAAGCCTGCAGTGTGTTATTGAGCATGATACCTGAGCGTGTATGACAGCATGATCACTTGATCAGCATCAACTCAATGTGTATAGGCCCAGAGCCGGAAGAAAAAATTATAAAAATGAAATTCAAACGTCAAAGTTTCGAGAACTCCAAAACTTTCCAACCTAGCCATGAGACTACGGCTTTGGTCCCCAACTGCTCGAACTTGTTTCTTTATTATGAATATTTGTGTAATCTTTCAAACCTACATTATTATTTGATACTAATTCCTATAATATTATTGTGTCAATCGAACGCCAACTAGTGCTACTAGTACTTGACATTAATTAATTAAATAATAATGTTACTTAAACACACTCATAAACCCTTGACCTAGATTATGTTCCCCCTCTTTGGTTATTTGGCTTTATTTATTTCAGGTTGTATACTTCACCTTCGACTTTGACTCTCACGAAAATAGCGTATTACATTACATGTTTATGCATATTTTTAATTTAATTTTTAATTTTTAATTCTTTTAATCCTAAGAGAACGTTTCTTTGAGGGAGGGAAAGAGTCCACACATCGGTGTATTAATTGACTGAAGCATATTGTAGTTGTATTCTCAACTCAAACTAAATATTCCACATAATTCATCAATGCACTTCAAACTCGAATGTTGTATCATGTTATAGACAATTACCATCCATGCAAATCTCTAGATTATGATTCAAGATTCAAGAATACTGAAAATGAAGAATGCTGTTGTGATCAAGAGTTACTAGCGAAAAGCTTTCTAGACTAAAAACTTCGTTCCAAAATTGGCAATAATATTTTAAGTTAAGTAACACCTGGATGATGAAAACGTCAATAGAGACTCTTAGGTATATCACTCAAAAGATCTTAAGTTTGATTCTCCTCGATTATTAATATGAGTGATTATTAGAGTATTACCCAACTGCTAACTTCAAGGGCCCAAAAGATTAGTTGAGGTGTATGCAAACTAGTCTAGACACTCCGATTACTAAAATATATATATATATATAATAATATTTTAAGTTGATTTGACTGCGATTAACTGAGGATTCAAAAGCANAGAAGTAAATGCTTAAAAATTCACAACTTTATAATATTAAATGGGGTATATTCTTCTTCTCCAAGTATAGGAATAAGATAATCCATAGTTCTAAGACATCCAAGCGTCGACTGCGTAGAGCCGAAAGTGCTTGAAAATGTATATGAAATCCCACTAGATGATTAATTATATAGATGCCTTAGCTCATTTTGTTAATCATCTAGCTAATTACCAAATTATATACGTTACCGTATTTTATTATTGCATATTGAGGCACATTAATGTTAGTTGTCAAGGATTTGCAAGGTGTATATATAATTAAGTGAGCCAGAGTAGTAATTTGATTTCCCGATTGAATAGTATCCTCGTGTGTGGACCATTAATGTTAATGGTTTGGTAATGAGCAAAGATCACACGCAAGTGTTATAGAATTTATGCATATAATTAGCATATCTTGTTTAATATATAATCACTTGCTAATTAATCAAACCATGCATCTATATATTATTGAAATATTATTTAATCTTAAACAAGAAAGCCTGCAGTGTGTTATTGAGCATGATACCTGAGAGTGTATGACAGCATGATCACTTGATCAGCATCAACTCAATGTGTATAGGCCCAGAGCCGGAAGAAAAAATTATAAAAATGAAATTCAAACGTCAAAGTTTCGAGAACTCCAAAACTTTCCAACCTAGCCATGAGACTACGGCTTTGGTCCCCAACTGCTCTAACTTGTTTCTTTATTATGAATATTTGTGTAATCTTTCAAACCTACATTATTATTTCATACTAATTCCTATAATATTATTGTGTCAATCGAACGCCAACTAGTGCTACTAGTACTTGACATTAATTAATTAATTAATTAATAATGTTACTTAAACACACTCATAAACCCTTGACCTGGATTATGTTCCCCCTCTTTGGTTATTTGGCTTTATTTATTTCAGGTTGTATACTTCACCTTCGACTTTGACTCTCACGAAAATAGCGTATTACATTACATGTTTATGCATATTTTTAATTTAATTTTTAATTTTTAATTCTTTTAATCCTAAGAGAACGTTTCTTTGAGGGAGGGAAAGAGTCCACACATCGGTGTATTAATTGACTGAAGCATATTGTAGTTGTATTCTCAACTCAAACTAAATATTCCACATAATTCATCAATGCACTTCAAACTCGAATGTTGTATCATGTTATAGACAATTACCATCCATGCAAATCTCTAGATTATGATTCAAGATTCAAGAATACTGAAAATGAAGAATACTGTTGTGATCAAGAGTTACTAGCGAAAAGCTTTCTAGACTAAAAACTTCGTTCCAAAATTGGCAATAATATTTTAAGTTAAGTAACACCTGGATGATGAAAACGTCAATAGAGACTCTTAGGTATATCACTCAAAAGATCTTAAGTTTGATTCTCCTCGATTATTAATATGAGTGATTATTAGAGTATTACCCAACTGCTAACTTCAAGGGCCCAAAAGATTAGTTGAGGTGTATGCAAACTAGTCTAGACACTCCGATTACTAAAATATATATATATATATAATAATATTTTAAGTTGATTTGACTGCGATTAACTGAGGATTCAAAAGCAAACACATTACTTGCTTGAATTGAATAATGACTAAGTCAAAGACATAATAAAATACTTTAATTAATTGTCACGAAGAAAACTACAAGCAATTGTACTTCACTTTCACAAATGGAATTTCTAGGAACTTGCTTAACCAGAAGTAAGCAAACAAAAATATTTTTTTGATTCAATCTGATTTACAGTATATTGATACAAACCCTATTTTTATCAGATGGGTTGCAAAGAATCAAAATGGGTGAATAAACCCAAAAAAAGTAGGAAGTAAAAGATACATATATATTTTACTGAGAAGATATTGGCTTTCTTTGTCTCTCTCTTTGTTGCATGAAATCATGTATTCTTTTCAAAGCAATTTCCAGTGTCTGCTCACTCATGTTCGCAAAGCACACCCTGAACCATCCTGGTTCAGAACAATGGCAAGAAGATCCTGGTGATATATTTAGCTTCACTTCATGCAGCATAGAATCCCAAAGAGCCAATTCACCTTCTCTTGTTTGTTCCTCCAACAATGGGCTTAAATTCATCCAGCAAAATAGCCCAGCATTACCTTTCAAACACTCAATCCCGGCGTTCTTCAATCCTTGAATGATCATTTCGTATCTCTTCCTCAGTCTCTCCCTGTTTGTCTTGATATAATTCTCTGTGAATTTCTTGTTAGACAACATTGAAGCTAAGAGATGTTGTGTTTGAGAGGAAATAAGAGTGAAGCTCGACATCCTCCTTGCTGTAGTAACAACTTTATCGTTGTACGAATATATCGTTCCAACTCTAAAACCTGGGAGGCCAAGATCTTTAGAAAGACTATAAACAATATGAACTCTTTCAGAATTTTTGTATTTACGTGATTCAAGAATTTCCGCAATGCTTATGAATTCGGACGAGGAAAAAGCTGATCCGGAGTAGATTTCATCTGAGACGAGATGGATGTTTTTGTGGGTTACAAAATCAAGAATCTCTTCTAGAACTGACCTTTGGATCGTCGCACCTAACGGGTTTGATGGGTTGGTTATCAGAACAGCTCTAACTTTTTTGTTCATGGCTTCTGCTTCTTTATACGCAGCTTCTAATGCTTGAGGAGTAATTTGGAAATTGTTTGAGCTGTCACAATGGATTGGGACAATTTTCACACCAGTCCTCCACCTTAAATCTCTGTCAAATCTGGAAAACAGAAATAAAATCGATATTAATTGGATGATCTTTATGAATATATAGACATGAAATCACTTGTTGAATGAATTTTCAACATGATTAGTGTTAATGAGGACTATTTCTTACCCTGGATAGTATGGAGTTGGAACCAGCAAGGCATCACCAGGATCAGCTAAAATGAAGGTTAATAGCTCATTGGCCGCAGTAGCACCGGCGGTTAGGACAACTCTATCAGAATCAAATTTTGCCCTTCCGCCTCTTATTTGTTCCATGAAACTTGCCATCGCCTCCCTGAAAGATTGAAGTCCATGATAATCTTGAAACAAGGCATTTTCTCTAAAGCCAGGTGCTCCCTTCCCCCATGTGAATGCTTCTGAATGTTGTTCCGAGTACTCTTCTAGCAAATCGAATGAAACCTGTTCAAGAAAATAAGAAGATATGTTAAGTACATGTAAACTACAATGAAGTTAGAGTCTTCTCTTTAGTCGACTGGACATAATTTTAATTGTTCAGATACTTACTTGATTTTCAGCCAGTCCCATCTGTATGACTCCTGATGGGTTATTTGATTCTTGATAAGGGTCTTCATCGTAAGCTTTCCAGCCAGCAAAATATGGAGAGTCTTCTCCATGAGTTTCAGAAACTGCAACTTTTGACAGCTCAACAGAAGAAGGTTGCTCAATCTCTATAGCCATAACTAGCTTTCTGGAAAATGATATATATGAGGCGTTTCCCCTGTCGAAAGCTGTTATGTGGAAGAGAGAGAGAGAGAGAGAGAGAGAGATGGATTGATAGTTGAAAGATGGTTGTGTTGAATGAAACATTTGTCAAAGACCCTTTATATAGAGGAGGGGTTTGACACAAAAAGTACTGGTCCCTCCGCTAGCGGTTCTCTCAGAGAAAAAAAATAATGAAAAAATATCAATTATTGATTCTCTAGGGCAAGGAGATCAACGCCCTTTTACAGATATAGTTTTTATCTCTCAATGACAACTGTTTGGCTTCTGTCATCTTGTTCCAAGTTTTCTCTATCTCAATCTCTTCTAAGATTTAGAGCGTATATGGTGGTTGATAGGGAGTGGGTATTTTCTTTATGCTTCTTAAATTTCATTTAGATCATTAATACACAATTATAAAGTTTTCTTTTTCTGCTTTGTGGACAATCTTCATATAATTACATCTTGATTTTCTTATTAGTATTTCTCATTTTAAATAATGGTGGTTGAGTTCTCTCGCAACAAGATCCCCACCTTGCAACCTATGACTAATCAAATCTTTGCGCCTAATATAAACTGATCTAAATTCCCTATACTGGGAACCAAACCATGCATGAGAAGACTACATATTACATATTCAGATATTCCAAGAGATCTAAGAGTAGTTAAGTTTTGATGACATTATAAAGATACCAATTTAACCCAAGATTAAGATTCTGATATGCAACCAAAGCTCAGACAAACCAGAAGCTCCAAGAAGATCTTATGACCCCACCATATATAGCATTTCTTCAAGCAACAGAATTTATGGCTTGTAATCTCTTTAACAGTATAATCATTTCCAGTTCTTATTTATGTGCCCATGAAGTTAATTAAAATGCCTTTCATGTTGATGTTATATATGTATATAAAGGCTGCTTATATCCATATATGTGGCGTTCTTGTTCTATATATATATTTATCTATATGATTTCTAAACGTTAAATGTGTATTACTTTCTAAATTAGTGACACAGATTTATTGTTCATCCATAAAAAAGATGCATGCATTTATATGAATTGGCATAAATAAGTTTGGTATATGCATGCCTAGATGTAAGAGTTAGGATATTTGTCAAGATTGTGTTGCTAGAATAGTTTCAACTAACCTACTTACATAATAAACAACATCCCAAGATCAAAAAGAAGGGCAATAAGAAAAACAAATATTGATTAAGCAGAGAATATGCCTCTTTAAATCATCGACGTGGGGCTCGAGATGCTGAATATCCATGTGCAAGAACTCAAACATATAAGATTTGCAATTAATAGCTAGATTGCATCCCTTTTTGCTAAAAAGAGAACGTGAAAGGAGTGGTAGGTGACGACTGTGTGGCGACTTCGACCTTAAAGAGAGAGACAGGTATCAAACAATAGTCTTCGACAGATATCCAAATTTTTTTATTTATGCAGTGACAATATAATTAAATTATTCTTGTTTGTCAGTTAAAGTCTTAAGTTTTTACTCGATTGTCCCTTTTAATTTACTTTTTATAACCTAGAAACCCATATAACTGGCTGGAAAGCATGGAGTTAATTCATAAAATATTAACCCTCATCTTCCCGGAGCTTCAACTTACTGCAACTTCAGGACAATTGTATAAGACAGAGTTGAGATAGATAAGATCACTTGAGGCTTGGAATTTTGTTACTTAATAATTAACCAAATTACTTCAACATGGATTGTTTATTGACATTGGTTAGTGCACACTGAGGTAAGAAGTAGTTATTTGATATATGTGTATATATATATATAACACTAATAATTAATTTCAGTGCCTTAATTTACTAATTTATGCTTGGGAATCACCAAAACCTACCATGAAAAGATAAAAAAATAAAAAATAAAAAATAAATAAATAAATAAATAAATAAATAAAGTGTTGGGTGTGTTAGGTAATCCAAAAGGCAAGTGTTTGCATTTCTTCCTCAAGTGGATTCCAACTTAGACGCAGAGAGAAGCATCCCAGAAATTAGGATTTACAAGGAAAAGGGAAAAGGGCATGCCTTGGCTGATCTCCATAGTAAATTAACTTACAACTGGGGCTAACTACTGTTATGTTTCAACATTAGTCTCACTGTTAATTAATTAAAGAATATGAACATACGTACATAAGATGGGATGGATTTTCTTAATTGCCAAACAGCTCACTGTCTCAACATCTTCTAAGCAATAAAGGGCCATGTTTGTCAATTGATGTTGTGCATGTGGACTACAAATTTATAAGTTCGTGAAAGGGACTGCTTCAATATGTCCAATAATATGTATATATATATATTATAAAGAGGTTTTGTTATTACGACTACAGTGATTAATGTTTAATCCCTTGAGGGTTTGTGAAACTTGATCAGATTCAGCTAAATTGAGAGAGAGAGAGAGAGAGAGAAGATATATGGAGTGGTGGGGGCCTGCAAATTAAAGGACTTGCCTAAGTTTTGTCCAATGAGGGAAGATGATTTTGAGTGGGGTTTCATATGATTGGAGGAAAAAGGTATTAGTGTTTTTTGTATCCCAATATAGGGCATGAATCGTCTAGGGAGACTTTTCCCCAATAACGACATGCCACATGGGAATCTTGATTCTAATCATGCCAAGATCATGTCAATGAAAGATAAATTTAGAATATTGGGTAGGTCATCCTTCAATAACACATTAATAGGTATATTGTGATCTTAAATATATTTTTGCATGCTTAATTTCTCCTTTCTGCTCCCATAAATTCTACAATATTATAGCCTTTGACAATTAATCATACCATTTTGTTCCTCAATGTTGTATTATACATATATATATTCCTACCTCCCATACTTTGATGAATGAATAAGTATATTGAAATTGAATAGAATAAAGGAAGAGGCAGGCAGCTATATGCAGTACAAATAAGTCAAGAAAAAGCTTTTTGTGGAGAAGTCATCAACCATGTGCCGATCTCTCTCACTCTTTCTATAAATGCAAGTAAAATTTCATTATTGGAAGAATGGTTTTATATATATATATATAATTGATAAGAGAGAAACATTGAAATAATTGATTGTACTCTACTCCCTAAGTTGTGATCCAAGAACATCCACAGAGGCTTAAGGATAAGATAACTATTATAAAAACATCCAATCATTCATTTATTTTCTTTGCTACAGAATTGTAAATGGCTACACTTTGTTTGTTTGTACGTACTCGCATTCTTCTATAATTTTTTTTTCACCAACTTGGACTCGGGGTTTATTTCAATTCTTGATTGGTATTTTATGAGTATAGTCCAGCTCTTTGCCAACCAGGCCAACCACGCAAGCGCAGAAGTGTTACATTAATCATCCATGCATTATAGATAGCTTAGCTAGCTTACATTGGAACTCTTGAAAACTACTAGTTTATAAAAGAGATCTGATAAAAGGCCTCGTAAATTGATGCTTTCAGGACCATTAGAATTTAGAAAGTAATTGCACGATCACTGGCTGGCCTCCATCCTTCTCCTCCAAAACCAGCGGCTTGGACAACACCGAAAAATCTTGACAACAGAGATTCACTTGGAACTACTCAGCTATTTGCATGTTCTGGGTTTAATATTATTTCTTTTAGTTCTGCTTTCCACTCACGACAATACGTCCATACAATTAAAGGTTTTTATTCACAAAGTATTCTTACTATGTAATAGCCATTATTTGTATCAGAGAAAAGCCCCCAATGGTACATAGTCTGATTTTAGAAGGATGATGACTTCACCTTAGTGTGTTATATGTTTTTTTTTTATTAGATATTAAATTCAAACCCCAAGACATAAAGACAATAAGGACGACGTCAATGCCATCAGATCTCAGGAATAAGCTGATTAATCAATATTAATTACAAAATATGAACACGAATTTTGATATCAAAACGTATATGTAATTACCTCATGATATATTCGGGAATAATAATTAATTAAATGTTGAGTACCGTCAAGCTAATCTTCGTCAATATATAATATATAGGCGGCCTGCATCATGCAATCTCCCACCAGAATATTAACAATTAACTTAATTATCTGCAACCCTATGGCTAGGTCGGACGGTGCCGTTTGCCAAGGCCACCATGACTGTCAAGATTCTAATTTGACTAGTCACAGGAGACAAAACCCTAATTTTTATTATTAGTGTTGCTAACAATGTCATTCTTAAAGGAAATAACATGCTCCTATTACCGCAACCTATATATCCAAAAGGACCAAAACCTCAATTTAATACTAAATACTGTTTAATGGAACAGTAACATTCCTCCTACTACCACAATTAATAAATATCCAATAAGGAATATATGATGATTACTGTAATCTAGGTTTGGAATCTTAGACAATCTCCTCAAAACCCTGGTTTAATGCCTCATTGATTGATCCAATCCAACAAGCTACCATGTGCCCTTTTCCTCTTCATCACATGCACCTTCTTACCTTTCAAACTTTCACATATATATTAATCTACTTATACCGATTCCAAGCAAACAAATTGACCATTTATTTTTTATTTTTTTTATCTTAGACTCGCGAAATTTTGCGTATTTGAAAAGCAGGGAGACATGAATCTTATTTGATAGAGCTGACTGAGAAACATAATTTACTGGCAAATTGTAACAACGATGTCGAGCATGCAGAGTTTATAATATGTCCATTAAAGTTATTTTTTACCAAAACTTCTGATCATTCTTCATTATCAGTGTTTGTAAGAAGTGTCCCTAGCATCCTGCGTAGAAATCCGTACTCCTGAATCCCTGATTCACCAATAATTTGGAAACAAAATCAGTGGATATCAGACTTTCTCTAGTAATTAGAGGTATTCAGAATTCATGTCTTCTTAAAATAGAGTAAAAGATGCACGTTATTAGACTTGTATTTGCACCAAAAAGTTCTAAGATTTGTACATTATTCAGTTATCTTCTTATTCTCATTGTAAACGAATATCAAAAGCCTACAATTATCCAAATTTTTAATAGTGTTATTTGAGCCCCACTAAATCTCTTTTTAAACCCCAATAATAAAAGATGTTTAAATAATATTAATCTAAAATACCATCTTTCTAAATCTTCTGAAACTCTTTATCTTCTTCTATCTATTATTCTCAAGTTGTACTCATCTATGTTCCATTATAGTTGAAGAAAGGATTTTGCTTGCGATTTTGGTTTTCTAATACAAATGTGTTTTTAGTCCTAGAACTACAATGGCTTGACATTCCTTTCCCAGGAGAATCAATTTTATTGTAGGGGCAAATACAACAGTACTCACCCTACAAACAATTGCTGTGAAGTGAACTACATAAATCATCACTAGATGATTTGATGGTAAAATAACAAAAGGAGGTTCATGAGTTTCTAAGTTCGAATCCCCCAGATACTAGTAGGGGTAACCATTGTGGCTCTTATCCGGTCAACAGTTCCAAAACTTCGGAGGATTAGTTAAAGTGCGCGTAAACTGGCTTGAATACCCTTGATGATAAACAAAAAAGTGAACTACTGATCTAATAAGCTTAAGACTGCCTCTTATTTGTCAGATATTATGTACCAATTAACCATTTGATAGCCGAGATTATGTGATTATAATTTGTGATGATGGAGAGTTGTTTTGATGTATAATTACATTCTCTACTTCAAAGGTAGTAAATATATCTTTTTGGTAGTCTTAATTTTACATATATTTTTTATTTTAAATATCCATATACAAACTTAGAAAGAGATTTAGGGCGACTTAAATAGCACTACTACTCATTTTTATCCTTCCTCCTTAAGCAGCTCTCGCCAATCTCTTTCACATTTTATAAAGCCTCAAGCCCAAGCCTAGGCTCATGCCTAGACCAAAACCAAGCCCAAACCCAAACCCATGTGACTAGGCCTACACAACCACCTAAGCAAAACTATGAATCATTCCCAGCCCAGTCTCATTCCCCTTCCATTTTCATGAATTATTTTTAGCTTTATAGGAATGTGATGGCTGTCTGGCAACTTCTATTTATGCCAAAAATGCCTGCTTTTCTACCAATTACGTAATAAATATGGAGATGTAGCTCCCTTTGGTTTATTATTGGGTAGTTTTGAGAATATTTTTTTGAAAAAAGTTAAATTGGGTGGGTATTATGATGTAGAATTTTAAAAATTAATATAAATACCCCCTATATTTATTTATTTACTAAACAGCCCTAAATATAATATTCAAAATTAACAAAACACCCCCAATCCACTCATAAATAAGAACAGTTGGCCACCACCGCCGGAGGGTGATCGGAGTTGCTGTATCAACATATGATCGACTCGATATTGCCAGTCGTACTTCGATATGACCTTTTCCGGCCAGATCCACTGTTGATCTGGCCGATAAATGTCAAATCTACGGCCAGATCTGGCCGCATTTGGTTATCAACGACGGCCAAAGATACGACCGTCGTTAATGGTCAATGACGACCATATCGTGGCCGTCGTTGACGACTATCTACAAGCAAAGATCTGGCTATTCACCGTAAATCTGACCTTTTCCGGCCAGATCCAACGTGAATCTGGTCGAAAAAAGTTAGATTGACACACTATCGACAAGATTCAGCTGGTAGTGCTCCATTACACTAGATTACGGCCAGATTCTGGTAGTATTGGCCAGAATCTGGTAAATTTGGGTTGCTGGGGTGTTTTGTCAATTTTTTAAAAAAAAAAATTGGAGTTGTTTAGTTAAATTAATAAATTTAAAGGAATTAAAGGAAATTGAATAATTTAAAAAACTATTTTGAAAATAGGTGAAATAAAGTTAACTTTTTTTGGGAAAACTTTTGGGATATGTGAACCAAACTGAGCAAAATTGTTTGATGATAATTTTTAACAGCAAAAAATCTTTTTCATAATAAAGCACAATATTTTTTTTTAAATTTACCCTTTTTTTTTTTTAATTTCATAAATGAAAGATTTAACATTATAATTCAACTTAACTTGAAATAAAAGTGGAGGCTGTTTAGCTAATAGGTTGAATAATTTAAGAGTTGAGTTGAGCTATTGACACCTCAACTAATGGATTAAAAAATTCCTTTTAATTAAGACATCTAATTTCAAAGTTTTAATATTATTTTTTTTCTTATGACACTCCATGAATTTCACAAATGTCCTTCCTTCCATTTTTTTTAATATTTAAAAGAATTAACATTATATTTCTTCACTTATTCTATACATCCCACCATCATTATTCTTAAAATAAAAATTAGATAATTAAAAAAGCTAAAAAAAGTACCCGCAAATAATTCTTAAAACATAGTATAGTTTAAAAACACACACACACACATATATATATATATAAATTAAAATAATTATCAATATTTTGAAGAGAAAAAAATAATAAATTTATATATAAAGTAATTAAAAACTTACAATTTTATATTGCTTGTAATTTGATATATCTCTCGTTAAAAATCTTCATATATATATATATATATATGTGTGTGTGTGTGTGTGAGTAATGCTAGTTTTACAAAGACACATACAAAGGAAGTATACAAAGACAATCTCCACCCTTGATTTTCATGATTTTTCTCTCTCTCTTCTTCCGTTTTTTCTTTGTTTTTTTCTTCTTGCTGATATCACTTTGTAGCTCTCTTTGTATGAGTCTTTGTAAGGATAACATTTTCTATATATATATATATATGTGTGTGTGTGTGTGAATAATACTACACATATATAATTTTCATACAACATTTCTCATATAACATTATGTGGCATGATATGATTGGATGAAAGTTTAATTTTAACTTTAAATTAGCTAATCATATCTTGTTATCTAATGTTGTGTGAGAAATTTTATATAAAACTGATTTATGTATAGTATTAGTCTGTGTATATATATATATATATACGAAATTAGGAATGGTATGGTAAATTACAATAGTTATCATGCTGTATTGCTGGACTGTCATAACTTTTCCCTGTTCGTTCAGGGAATACAACGCTGTCGTTTAGAAACGTATAAAGAACTTAAGCATAAAGCAAGTAAACGGGATCACTAAAACTGAAGCACTGGGTAAGAAGAAGCCAATTCAATGGCTTCCTCACTGTCACCTGCTCCAGTACCAATGGAGCTCCACGTCCTCAACCGAGAAAAGCTCCTTAAATCAATACGCCAGCATCTCACCGACACGTCTCGTCCCTTAAATGGCTTCGTCTTTCTTCAGGCAATCTTATTCATCTTCATGATGAGCTAATCAATTTTCTTTTATCTTTTCTTTATTGATTTTAACTTTTTTGATCAATCGGTTCACAGGGAGGCGACGAGCAGACTCGTTACTGCACCGATCACATCGAACTCTTCAGGTATCTTATTGATCACGTATTCTGTGTCCATATTTTTATAATTTCTTGTTAGAATGCTAGAATTTATTCATTTATGTCGGGAATACGTGACGCTTTTTGAATTTCTGTTATAAGGTTAGAATCTGAGTATTCACAATTTGTGATTGGATTAATAGGCAGGAGAGTTATTTTGCATATCTCTTCGGAGTTATAGAGCCTGGCTTCTACGGAGCTATTGTGAGTTATTTCCTTTTCATCTGTTAATGCTTTACATTGTTGATCTTTTACACTTGTTATGATGGAGATAGTAGTATTGTAAAGGAAAAGGATTCAGAAGAGGTCACTTCCCTTGTTTGCTTGGAAGAAATGTGAAAGGGAAAAGGAAAAGGAAGCATCTTGTATCCCCTCAGTACTTTGTCCTACCAGTTAAAAATAAAACTAGTTTATAAGTTTATCCTGGTCTTAGATGGAAATAAAATGGTCTATGTAATGTATAATGCATTTTCTTCCTTTCTCTTTTATGCCAATGCTTGGTAATAGGAAAGAAAAAGGGGAGGAAGGAGGAAAAAGGAAAGAAGTGAAGGAGTTAGATTTCTTTTTTTTTTTTTTGTTTTCTTACTTTTGATTGTTTGGTCTATATCAAGGAGGAAGAGTAGAGAATTGATATATGTTATTTAACCATCACACTACTATATGTTGTAAATGGATATATTGATTTGTATTTCTAGTTTTTATGTGGGAAAATGGTGAGACATAAATATTATCTCCTTCAACGGGCTTTTCTTTTTCCTTCTTTCATCCATCTATATACTGAAGGATTTAGTTTGGTGGGTTTAGAGTTATTAGGCATTACTCCCCCTTCTTTGCCTCTCATTGTTTTCTAAATAGATAAATAATTAGCCATCCCTGTATCCTTTTTGTTTCCTTCTATTTCCTTTCCATCAAATGAAATGTTGGGGGATCCCAATGGTAGAAAGTGCCAATCCTCTTCTTTCCCTCTCTCTTCCATCCCATCAATCATGCATATGGGTAGATACTGACATGGACATGCTATATTATTAATGTTCATAATGCTTCTTATGATTGTCTCATAATTACATGATTGTGGAGTTTTATATAAATGTCTTACTCTTGTGTAGTGTACTTGTGCCATTTTATGTTCTTGTAAACTTCTATATAATCATTATAGATTTGGCTAACTGTATTGTACCTGAAATCATGCTAATGAGTTGGTGAATCAATCTTGCCCATCAATTTTGTTTGATCCGAGTGTATATTAGTACAAGATTCAGCTTACACATGTATCTGATGGTAATGAAACATTTCACTTGTGCTCAGCTGGGTCAGTTTATTGAGCTAGAATACTGTGATCTTGACACCCAACCCAGGAAATAAAAGAGTTCTTTGCATTCCAGAAGATTTAGAACTGGTTTTAAAACAGCGGATTATATTTGTTTCTGTTGTGCTTGAACTATATTTGTATTAATATCATTGGTATATACCAGTGATGCTTGTGTAAGAGTTGGATCCTATGTAGAGCTTGTTTAATGTATGGATTGTTGAAATTGCTCTTATTTTTTTCTCTTCATTCTTTCTTGAGGATATTGCAACTGGGAAATCTATTCTTTTTGCTCCTAGACTACCTGCTGAATATACTGTTTGGTTGGGAGAAGTAAAGCCATTATCCTACTTTCAGGTGACTAGGTATTCTGTGGTCTTCATCTGCTTTGTCAACTTGGGATGAATTTTTGTCATATCTTACTTACATTCATATCTTGCAGGAAAAATACAAGGTTAGCATGGCCTGCTACACTGATGAGATTGCTGGAGTTTTGCTTGACCAGTACAAGGGGTCAGGAAAACCTTTACTATTTCTCTTGCATGGGCTTAATACTGATAGCAATAATTTTTCAAAACCAGCCGAGTTTGAGGTTCTTAATTTCTCACTTTTCCTTTGTCCCTTCTTTTTCTTCCCATCTTTTCTTGTTTATTACTTTGCAAAAGAGTGATAACTATGTTCTCAAGTTTTGTTCTCATTTTTGTTGTGTGATTACAGTCAGCGTTACTGCATTAGGTCATGTATATTTTTGGCCAAGTTCTGAAGTCCTTTTTGATTTACATCATTTATTAAATTATACATCTCTCTACTTAGGGGATGGAAAAGTTTGAGACCGAGTTGAGTACGCTGCATCCCATTTTGACTGAGTGCCGAGTTTTGAAGTCAGACCTTGAGCTTGCTCTTATCCAATTTGCAAATGATATAAGCTCTGAAGCTCATATTGAGGTAAGTAGGAATGTCGTGTTGGGTGTTTTAGGTTGTTAACAACAAGTGAATATGTAGGTGAATAAATGAACACCTCTTTTTTTTTTTTTTTAAATCTTTGGCCATAGATGATCTTGTAATTCATAATACTTCTATATATTTTTTAAAGGGTTTTACTTATTTCTTCTTAAATTTTTTACCTGACCTTCTTTCAGCAGGTATTCTATCTTGTAGAATTTAAAGAACTAGGCAATAGTTTCTGGTATCATTATATGAATGCTATGTATTTATTAAATATTGCCTCATTGTTTGTAATGGGTAACTGGTTTCACTTATCCTTCATAAGGAAGTAAGAAACAAAGAGGTCTAGAAACTTTGTGATCATTTGGAAACATTTTTAACTTTAATGAATATTGGGTTGTCTTGAAATCAAATGGTTTCATATTTTTGAAGTGTCTGTTCTTTTTGCATTCCAACTAGGTCATGAGAAAAGTTAGAGTGGGCATGAAAGAGTATCAGTTGGAGAGCATGTTTCTTCACCATACATACATGTATGGTGGCTGTAGGCATTGTTCATACACATGTATTTGTGCTACTGGTGAAAATAGGTGAGGATATTCTTTACTTGCTAATTTTTCATTTTTCTAGGTAAGTGATGCTTAATAGCAGCATGTTAGTGAGGTTTTGATGCATATGTATTAAGGAGGCATATATTTCACAGGAAAAAGATGATTTCATATAGCCGAATTTGTGTTCTTTGATTTTTGAGATTACCAAAAATGTCTAAGCATTCAGATATATTTCTTATCTTATAGTTTTCCTCTAGTTTTTTTGTAAATTGTTTTACTCAATTAGAGATTGAAGTAGGGTAGCTACAAGTTACAAGTTACATTATGTTGATTTGATAGATTAAACAGTCTCGTAAAGGATAAATTCAAGGCCATACTTCTTTGAACTCAACTGGTCAAGAAAATTGGGGCAAGCACTTTTAATAGATAAAGTGGGGGATAATTCATATTTCATTTTAGATTGAATAGGGAATCTGCTAGACCACTTTATTACAAGTTCTGAATACTGTAAACAGAATTCTATGCTGACCAGTTCCCAATTCTAGTTTACAAGTACAAGATTGAAATTTTGGACATTTTATGAGCAATTATCTTCCTTGAAATCTTTGCATTTTTATATTTTATTTTATTAATAAAAGATCCTGCCATAACCACTCATATGTATTAGAATTTGATCACTTTTTAATGTTTGGGTATTAATGCATTGATGTTAAGTTTACTCTATCTCAAATGGCTAACAGTATTTATATTTGATGCTTTAGTGCTGTTCTACATTATGGGCATGCAGCAGCTCCAAATGACAGGGTACAGTAGACTTCACATCTTTCTATTTTAATTTCTTTTTTTATATATCACAGTGGAGTCTGTGCCCAGGAAAATATAATTGTCATGCATTTAATTTGGATTTCTTTGAATCCTAACCAGATTACGCATTTTCCATTTTAGTTTGATGAACTCTGTTCAAAAGGAAAAGAAGGGCTGAATTTTGAGAATGTGTGCTGTTCAGTTACATATTTCCTTTTAGTTTGATGACTCTTGTTCAAGAAAAGAAGGGCTGAATATTGAGAATGTGCTGTTCAGATACTTTTTTGCTGTTTTATGCCAAAAGTAGACGGTTCCCTCTGTTCTAACATTGAGAAATCAAATTAGTTAGGACTCTTACAGATGGAGTTGAAGTTAGATATTGGCATTATGTAACTGGAATATTGATTTTAACTCTCTTTCTCTCGTAGTGAAAATTTCATTTAACTTGGATCTGCTTTTGGTTTACTTTTGGTTAGATCCCTATAACATTTTGTGTGAGACTTGGGTTGAATACCTGATCTATTTAATGTTTTATTATTAAAGAGTGTTCATCTACATTATGTAATTAATTTAAGTTTTTTGAAATCTTTATAACCCAATTTTTTTGCAGACCTTCAAAGATGGAGATATGGCTTTGCTTGATATGGGGCTGAATACAATTTTATGCATCTGACATAACATGTTCTTCCCTGTGAGTCCTTTTGCTGCTAGGTTTCCCCCAAATTCTCTATTTCTATTGCATTTTTTAAATACATCATTGTGTCTTAGGTGAATGGGAAGTTCACAAGGATCAAAGTCTTATATATAATGTAAGTCTTCTAATTTCAATTTTAAAGCAGTGTTGATCATATGATTTGAATCTGAGGCACACTTTCAAACCACTTATATCTATCTTCTAAATGATTGAACTGGCTTCCACACAGGCATATTGAAATTTATTAAAAATACTTACCGAAAAAAAAAAAAAAAAAAAAAAAGTTGTCGCTGTTAGAATTTCAGTTTTTGATGAACATCTTACGCAGCTTTCTTGAAGCTCACAATGCCGCATAAAAGCAATGAAACCGGGAGTGAACTGGTTGGACATGCACAAGTAAGGCTAAAAAGTGAAAATGTCCAAATGTTACACACACACATGTTTGTGGTGCTTGATTGTGATTTATAGATGACAGTTGTTTAACCTGTTGCATCATAGAACGAGACTTTTGTTGTTTAGTTAATGACTTGTGATAATCGAAGCCATAGATCGGGTAGATATGTTTCTATCAATAATAAAAAATAAAAAAAGCCGGTAGTATTCTGAAGTTGCAAAAGTTTGCTTCATTTCACATGGTACACATTGTATTTCAAGATTCACTGAAACAATCTTCAGTTGAAAGATAGTTTGCAAATATCGAAGGTCTCTGATGGCAGTTTGTTTTGCTTAAGCTTTTCTGTCTTTGTAACATGCATCTGGATGTTAATTGTTATTTATAATTGTAGGTTAGCTGAGAAAGTTATTCTGGAGTCATTGAAGAAGGGTTCTGTCCTTGTTGGGTAATTTTCTATTTTCACATGCTCTGATTCTTCCAACTTCTCACCATTTCAGAAGTTAAAAAACAATCAGTAATGGAAACTTTTTTTTAGTGGAATGTTGATATATGATGGTTGAACGATTGGGCGCTGTTTTCATGCCTCATGGTCTGGGGCTTTATTGGGTATGACACCCATGATCCTGGTGGCTACCCAAAGGTCTTTCTGATTAAGTTACGGCTATGAACTTTAGTTCTATTACTCTTTTTTCTTGTACATATATGTGCGTGTGCACATTTTTGTTACTCTTGACAGGACTTTGTCATTGTATTATTAACTGTACAATTAGTATTAGTAGCACTTGTATTTCTTTGATGACTTGTAGAAATTTAATTATTTGCAGGGAACAGAAAGACCGAAAACCTGGCTTGAAGTCTTTGCGTACTAGTAGAGATCTCCAGCAGGGATGGTAAGTGGGTTCTTATTGTAGTGATTTATGTTTGATTAGTTTGATTCTGATACCTTATTATTTGTTTAGTCTGAAAATTGGGGATTTCATCAGATTTTTCACTGTATAGCTATTTCTTTACCAGATTTGATCTGGATTTATAATTATATATACCAGAGATCTAGTGAATTAATGTGATGAATGTAATTTTGTGCTTCTATATGAACCGAATTTTCTATTTTGTGGGTTAACTTTTAGTATAGAAATAATTGTGTTCAAATGTATGGCATACCAGTATAAAAACATTTGTGTTCAAATTGTGCTTTACTAATTTTTATTTATTTAAATGGAGGGCATATTTGTTAAGGCTTCTGTGATAGACATGGGCATGTTTGATGTCTCATAAAAATCAAGACATTCGTGTCTTTACTGTGATTTTTGATATCTTGGAAAGAGAACTCGTCAATCAGACAAATATTTACATATAGCATCCTCTGAATGTTAAGAGGGTTAGTTTATTGGACAACTAGCTCCTGTGTGAAACTTACTAACTTTGATGCTCACTTACAGGTAATAACAGTGGAGCCTGGATGTTATTTCATGGTGCTCTATTGGTTCCAGCCATGGAAATGCTCACACTTCAAAGTTCTTTAATCGTGAAGTAATTGATAGTTTAAAGATTTTGGTGGTGTTCGCATTGAAAGTGACGTGGTAAATTATTTTTTCATCCTTACATTTACGCCGACCGAGAAAATTTCTTCCTCATTTTAGCAGTTTACTTGCATAGTTGCATACCAAGAATCTGACTTCATTATAGCACTATTCAGTGATTTTCCGTTTAATATACGCAGATTGTCACTGCTAATGGTTGCAAGAACATGACAAATGTACCTCGGAAACCTCGAGATGAAGCTGTGATGGGAGGCGCTCCATGGCCGCTGAACAAAGTGATCTGTCAAATAGTTGAGAGTTCTGACTAAGTTTTAGAATAAAGACATATTTAGAGAAGTAAGGATTATGCCGCTGCCACTAGCGTTTTATGAAAATTAGAATAAAAATCTAAATTTGAGTTCTAAAACCTTTCCAAAAAATGAAACTCTGACCAAAATGCAATTCTGGGTAAATTTGTCTCTACATACTGCATTTGAAACTTGATAAAGAAAATAAGCTGAGTCAAGAATTTCGATAATGAGCTCTCTCTACTCCATTGAATTGAATAGAATTGGAATGAAGTGTTTCGCTGGATAAATTTGGGCGAAGAGGTAATATATAATATGTTGAACCATATGGATTGGTTTTGAAAAATGTTGAGGTAAGTACCCAAATGGGTAATGCCCTTTTGATATCTGTCTCATCATGTTTTTAATTTTATTCTAATATCATGGAAATCCTTACCATTTCTGTATAATAACGTGACCTTAAATTTTTACAATTTCAAAATTATCGAAATTGATTTTAATACATAGCATGACACTAGACGACAAAATACTTCACGGTGCTTACTTATATTACGTTGGAGCTTTCCATTAAAAGGAGCCAAACGACACCGTGCCAAATCCGGATGAATTCTAACCTAATTTAGAGAGAATGGGGGCCCCTTGTCATTTACACTTTCGGTTTGAAGTAAAATTTATTATCTCAAATACTCGTAATATACTAATATTAGAGACTCATAGCAAAAATGCTACGAACACGAAATTTGTGTATCGAATTTTTTGCACCGATCTATGTTGCATCTGACTCGGACGTGGCCATGTAGGACACAACACAAGTATTCAGTGAATGAACGGTCGTCCAATAATTATGGATGCTCGTCCATATCTTATGGACGACCGTTCATCACGAATGGACGAGATTTCAGAAAATCTCAATAGACCCTCGTCCATCATATATGGACGGGAGTCCCTTTACTATGGACATCCGTCCACATTAAATGGATGGTCGTTCATATAATTTATACTCAAATATTTTTTTTTTTAATTTTACAAATATTTTTTTTCATTTATAAAAACCTATAGCTTGTCTAAGACGCTTCTACAAATAAGCGTCAAAATTTTTAAATGAAATATTCATTTTTAAAGCACAAAAATTTTAGATGAAAAAAAATAAAAAATAAAAAATAAACTTTGATTTTTAAAGTACAAAGTATGGATGTCAATCCATCTAATGAGGACAACCGTCCAAATGAGATGGACTGGCGTCCATACTCAAATAAATGTTTTTTTTTTGTTTATTTACAATTTTTTTTCATTTATAAAAAAAATGCAAAGTAAGAGAGAAATGAAGAACTGGATAAAAAGTACTGACAATGTAGTGCAACAGTGGCAGATGGAGACGAAGAAGACGAAGAACGGTGGCAGATGGAGACAAAGAACAGCAACAGAAGGCTTTTGTTTTTTAAAACCTGTTTTGGGAGCCCTAAATTTTTAAACATTCTAATTGAAAATTTTAAAGAAATTTTTTTTATTAAACTAGAATTTAGATATGGACGGCCGTCCATTGTATATAGACGTCCGTCCATTATTTGTTTTTAAACTTTTTTAGATGGACGTCCATCTTATATTGATGCCCGTCTATATTATATGGACGAAAGTCTATTGATATTGTCATGGACGATCATCCATTTGTGATGAACGGTCGTCCATAACATATGGACGATTGTCCGTATAAGATGGACGATCGTCCATTCACAGAATCAGTATTTTCTATCTAACATGGCCACGTCTTAGTGGATGTCACAACGTTCGATAAAAAATTTCGGTGCACAAATTCGGTATCCCTAGCATTACTGTAGAGATAAGTGTGATATACTCCGAAGTCCAAACCTTAGGATGAAAGGGAAATAATCCATGGAGAGCATCGTGTGATTCATATTTTCACTCTAAGAATCTCCCACCACTATTTAAGGCCAAACATTCACACGTCAAGAAGCTCAGCTGCTAAAATCAAAAGCCACCCAGTAAAACCCTAATAAAAGGTCTCCACTCTTCTTCTCCAAAACCCTAATCAATGGGTCGTCGCAAGGTTAAGAACAATGACAACC